AAAAAAACAACACTCAATTAACTGTAAAACTACTCAAACATTTTCAGTTTACTCAAGTTAAGGTAGAATTTAATTAATCAAGAAATCACTCAAACTAGAGCAAAAATGTACTTAGGAAAATTTCTACTAAAGAACCCAGTAACTGTCGCCTCATAAAAACTGATTTAATTATTAAAATTATGCAATCAGACTGACAATTATGTGCAAATGACAGTATTAAACTTTATATATTTTAATTACAAAACCTTGATGATGTTGATATTTATGATAAATTTCTTGCAGTAACAAAGCTAAATGCAAAATGTCTCAGGCTTTGCTGCCTTTAAGAGTTCAACCAAAGAAAGGGGAAGAAATAATGGCTTTAAGGCAGGATGATGGAAACAAACTGTCTTAGGATCCAGTATGAATTGGTTCTGATCAAATGTTCTGTGTCCATTCTGTTAGTTTAGGAGCCTTTTTGCCATTTTCACTGTCCAAAGTGACGGTGGTGTTAGTGTTGTGGTCTAGGATTCTTTACTTCTTCAGGAACTGTAATATTTGTTGTAATAAACTGAAGTATGACCTCTACTCTCTACAATAAATCCCTAAAGGACAACATCCGGCCATCAGCTACTAGCCTTAAAGTGCTTTGGGTTCTACAGCAGGAGGATGTAGTAAAGAAGACTGTAGTAAAGTTAAACGCTGAATTAGAGGTCTGCGAAATGACCGTATTAGATCGTGAATCTTTACAACATGTAGACAATCTGGTGAGTGAGGAGATCATAGGATTGCTTAGGACACATCCTATAAATAGCAGTTCTATGCTGATTCACTAGCCCCACTAGGTAGCCGACCTGACCGACCGATTATAGCGAATAACCTGCAGTGAGGCACTTTCTTACATGACTCATTGTTTATATGTGTAGCAGCAGCCGGATGGAGAGCCATGGCTGGAAACCAAACTGAGGAAAAACTCTACTTCCATTATATGAAACTGGTTTGGCCTTACCCCAAATGAAAAGGGGCAAACAAAATAGTATACTGAGAGCCAAACAGCAAGGGGACCACTGGGAGCCTGAGGCAGCCGCTGGACCCAAACAGACAGGATTAACACAAGATAGATTGATAAAGGCACTGTGTATGGCAAGACAAGCAAGGAGGGAAAAGAGGTCACAGAAGCAGCTGCCTTTTATCTTTCAAGAGATATGGTTCAATTCAAGACAGCTAAACTAGGAGTTTAACGCCTGTTTAAAGTAGTTGACTTGTAGTACGAGCTGCCTGGCCAAAAAATACTCCAATACTGCCATTCCACACAATAGGGCCATGGTGCATGTTAATGGTTTTTGTAGGTGTTAGCATAACTGCTTCTATTGAAATTAAAAGTAGTTCACAGAGGTTATTTGGCCTAATTTGCATGTTTGTCCCCCTTTTTTAGAACCGTTTTATATTAGAGAAATGGCTTGGTTATTCTGAACAGAGACATTCAACATTTTTACCATATCACCCACCCCTACTCTGAATCACTCAATGAAATGAAGTAAAAGTGTTTGGGCAACCTAGTCAAAGTCTTCATCTAAATACAACTTAGATTCTGTTCCATGACCTTAAACAGGTTTTTCCCTCCAACATGTCTGAATCCAGACAGCTCTGTCCTCCACAGTGATGTTAAAAACTGATTTCCGGCAATCAACAGTTGTTGCTTTCAAGGTGGAAAAAACATTTTTTAGGTCTAGGGAGTGATAACTTTATAACATAGAGTCAGGTTGGTTTGAAACGGTTTATTTATTTAATTAACACAATCATCAGTTAAAAACTGTTTTGACTATCATTCAGGTTCTGTTTGTCATTTTACATTCAGTTACTACAAGATCAGGACTGTATAGAAGATAATCCCAGTATTTAGTGTTTCTTCAATAGCTGAAGGTGGAAAATATAAAGAATAGATGGGAATGTTTTCCTCTCACCTCTGATAAAGGGGTTTTCCACTGTTTCACTGGAGCTGCTGCTGACAGGGTTTACCATCTCACAGAAAAAGGAGCTTTCCTTATTCTCCTGAGAAATAAATAGAAAACAGCTCTAAACCAAACCATGAAGGTTCTACTGAGTTCTTCCAGGGTTTCTCATCCTCATACCGTTGTTATCAGCAGCTCCTTGTCGGTGGAC